CAGCAGCAGCAGCAGCAGCAGGCCTACTACCAGCAGCAGCAGACCTACTACCAGCAGCAGCCGGCCTACGGGCAGCAGCCGGCCTACCAGCAGCCGGCGTACGCAGCGAGCGTCGACCGCGCGCGCGCGCAGGCGGCGTACTACGCGCCGCCGTCGGCCGTGGCCGCGGCGGCGGCGCCCGCCGTCGGCGCGGCGGCGCACGAGGCGCGCGCGGCCGCCGCGCGCGTGCAGCGCCGCTACGCGCCGAACCCGCAGCGCTGGGTCACGGCGGCGTCCGGCGGCGCCTACGCGACGCAGGCCGCGCCGCCGCCGCGGCCCGCGGCGGCGCCGGCGGCGGCGCCGGCGCCCGGCGGCGGCCAGCAGCTGCCCGCGAGCCTCAAGGCCTACGCGGAGCGCGCGTTCGCGCAGTGCAGCGGCGACGGCGAGCGCGCGCAGATGCAGGCGAAGCTCCACGGCATCATCTCCGGCGCGCTCGCGAACGACCGGCTGAACGCCGTGGACTGGGCCACGGCGCCCGTGCCGCCCCTGGAGCGGAGCGAGCCCCGCGGCGGATCCCGGAAGCGGCGCCACGGCGGCGGCGACGCCGACCGGGGCCCGCCGGCGCCGAACCCGCGCGAGCGCGCCGCGCGCGAGGCGCGCGCGAACCGCTTCGCGGACCGGTCCAAGCGGACCCCGAAGCGCGGCGGGCACCCCTACGCGCCCCGCGAGCCCGAGCCCGACGCGTCGCTCTTCGAGCCCGTCCGGGGCACCTGCGAGGATTTGGAGAAGGACTACTTCCGCCTCACGTCCGCGCCGGACCCGGCGACGGTGCGGCCCGCGCGCGTCCTCGAGGCCGCGCTCAAGGCGCTCAAGGCGCGGTGGCGGTCCGGCGACGTCGACTACCTCTGGATGTGCAATCAGCTCAAGGCCGTGCGCCAGGACCTCACGGTGCAGTGCGTCAAGTCGAAATTCACGATCAACGTCTACGAGACGCACGCGCGCGTCGCGCTCGAGTCGGGCGACGTCAACGAGTACAACCAGTGCCAGACGCAGCTCCGCGAGCTCTACGGTCTGGGCCTCGGCGGCGGCCACGAGATGGAGTTCACGGCCTACCGCATCTTCTACGCGCTCTTCCTCAACGTCTCCGGCTCCGCGGACGACGGCTCCGCGGAGCTCCTCAAGATCCTCAACGAGATGCCGGCCGAGGCCTGGGCCGACGCCGCCGTGGCCCACGCCCTGAACGTGCGCGAGGCGCTGGCGTTGGGCAACTACGCGGCCTTCTTCCGCCTCCACGAGACCGCGCCGAACATGGGCGCCTACGTCCTCGACACCTTCGCGGACAAGGTCCGCGTCGACGCCGCCGCGAAGATCCTCCGCGCGTACCGCCCGACCATCGACCTCGCCACCCTCGCGGCGCGCCTCGGCTTCGACGACGAAAACGACTGCAAGGCCTACGTGACGAAGCTCGGCTTCCTCTTCGACGACGCGGGCGCCGTCAAGTGCAAGGAGTCCAAGTGCGACGCCGCGGGCCTCGTCGAGGACGGCGAGCAGAAGTCCTCGCTCCTCTACAGGCTCTAGATCCGTGGGACGCGCGTTCCAAGGGCCGTCTCGCCCTTCGGACCCGGCGCCCGTCGCGCGCGCGCGACCGCGAGCTCCGCGGCCGGGCGCCCCTACTACGTAGTAGGAAAGCGCACACCCGCCGTTAGCGCCGCGGTGGCACCTTGAGCTTCATGCCCGCGGCGGTGCGGCGCAGGCCCTGGGTGGGGCTGTCGGCTCCGCCGTCGCCGGCGTCGACGTCGGCGGACGGCGCGCCCCGGGGTGTGAAGCCGCCGGCGAACGCGCCCGCGGGGCCGAAGCCGCCGCGCGGCGTGAACGCGCCGCGCTTGTCCTCGATCTGCTCCGGGAGCTCGACCTGGCCCCTCAACTTGGGGTGCTGGGCGAGGGCGGGCAGGAACTGGGTCCCTAAAAAGGCCTCGATGGACTGGTCGAGCATCTTGTAGGGGTCGGGCTGGAGCATCTGGGCCACGGCGGCGAGGCACTCCTCGAACTCCGTGAAGACCATCTCGACGTCGGAGCCCGGGAGCTCGACGACGTCGCGGCTCCGGTTCCGGTGGCTGCCCACCGTGCCGTCGGTCTTCAAATCCTGGATGACGACGTCGTCGTTCTGGACGTAGGCGAAGATCGTCCGGCACGCCATCTCGGAGCAGAGCGGGCCGATGACCTTGGCGAAGCGGAGCATGACGACCATCTCGTCCGCGTCCATGGTCGACGCCGGCGACGCGCTGTCCCAGGACGCGAAGACCTTGAAGACCGTCTTGAGGTTCTTCCGGTGCTTGAGCTGCACGGAGCGGACGACGTCGCCGTGGAGCCGCTCGCGGAAGACGTCCGCGTCGATCTGGCACGCGTGGGGCAGCACGTGCTCCTTGAGCACGTGGGAGAGGCAGTCCGACGGCGACCGCGCCTTGGGGTAGCGCGCGCACGCGAGGCGCACGAGGCACTCGGAGAACTGCGTCTTGTCGAGCTCGTGCGTGTCCTGCTCCAGGCGGTCGCTGCCCGTCTTGGAGAAGTCGAGCGACGCCTGCTGGAAGAGCAGGTCGACCTTGCTCGACGGCAGCAGGCGCCGCTTGTCGTCCTGGAGCCGCGAGTCGTGCACGAACTTCCAGAACTCCGCGCTGTCCATCGTGTTCGCGCAGCCGCTGCCCGCGGCCGCGTAGAAGGGGAAGATGCGCCGCATGTCCCGCAGGTGGTCCCGGAGCACGAGGTGGATCTGCGCGAGCTCCTCCTCCATGTTGTCCGCGGGCGGCTCGTCGCCGTCGCCGTCGTCGTCGCCCGCGCCGTCGCCCGCGGCCGCGCCCGCCTTCCTCCCGCCGTCGCCGTAGCCGAAGCGCCGGAGGTCCGCCTCGATCTGCGCGCGCCGGGGCCGCGTGAAGACGCCGTCGTCGACGTCCTCCTCGACGCGGACGCGCTGCGCGAGCACCGTCGTGCAGTTGGCGCGCCACGCGAGGCGGAGCGCGTCGTCGCGCGCCGCGCGCGCGGCCCGCCGGTCGCGGCGCGCGGCGGCCGCCGCGGCCCAGGTGCCCGCGAGCTGGCGCTGGGCCGCGTCGTGGGCCGCCTCGACGGCGTCCGCGAGCGCGACGGTCTCCGCCTCGGCGAGCGCGAGGACGCCTGACCAGCAAAAGGGTGATTCAACGTCGCTTCAACGTGAGTATTCCGCGCGCGCGCGTTCCGGAAACAGCATCCGCGCTTCGAGACCGTTCCAAGAGATGATCGCTCGTCCAAAAATCAGCCGAAACGAGTGGAAAACGGCCGAGCTAGGAGCCTTTGAAGTTGGGAATTTCGCTCTCTTTTGCCGCCCTGGAGGACGCCCGTCCGCGCGATCGCGAGCGCCTTGACCACGACGACGTCGCAGCACGTCGCACGCGCGGCCTCGTCGCCGAGCCGCGGCGCCCGGTGGTTCGGCGGCGGCACGGGCACGGGCGCGGGCGCGCCGCCCTCCGCGCACTCGTCGTAGAGCGCGTCGCGCGCGGCGTGGAGCGCGGTCTCCATGGCGTGGACGGCGTTCGCGTGGCGCGAGTGGTGCTTGTCCTCCGCGGCCTGGCGCCCCTTGAGCGCCGACGCCGCGTAGGGCGGCTCGTAGGGGTGGTGGTGGCCGCAGTAGGGCGGCGGCGGGCCGTAGCGGTAGAACTGCGTCGAGAAGAGCTGCGCGAGGAGCGCGAAGGTCCGCCCGACGGCCGTCGTCTCCGGGTCCACGGCGACGCGCTTCCCCAGGTACTTGGACACGACCTTGACGACCGTCTCGGGCCGCGGCGCGCCGCCCTTGGCGCCGCCGGCCTTCTTCGGCGCGGCCGCGGCGCCCCGGGGCTTGCCCTTGGGCGCGTGCGGCAGGAGGCTCCAGTGCGCCGCGGACGCCTGGGCCCCCGCGAGGTGGCGCACCTCGACGAAGCGGCCCAGGGGCGGGTGCAGGAAGGCGCCGCCCCGCAAGAGCTCGAGCGCGCAGGCGACGTTCGCGCCGCGCTCCTTGTCCTGCCCGCCCGGCGGCACGGAGCAGAGCGCGGCCGCGGCCCGCGCGCGCTTGAGCCAGTCCTCGCCCAGCCCCCCGTGGTGCTCGTCGAGCTCGTAGTGGTCCGCGAAGAGCCGCCGCGCTAAACGCCCGAGCTTGACGCCGTCCGCGAACGCGCCGATGACGCCCCGGTCCGCGTCGACGTGGCCGTCGTCGTCGTCGAGCGCGGAGCCGTCGCGCACGAGCGTCGCGTCGGCCCAGGCTAAAAGCTCGCGGCCCACGCGGACCGTGAAGGGGTCGGGCCCCGTCTCGACGGACCGGAGGCGGTCGCGGCTCGCCTCGTCGTGGGCGAAGACGACGATCGTGCGGCCGCTCTTGTCCTTCTTCTTGAGCTGCATCGTGCCGCCCCGCCGCACGCGCTTCGTGGACCGGTCCAGGCCCTCGCCCTCGTCGTCGTCGGCCCGGGGGCCGCCGGACGTCGCGCCGACGGCGGGCCGCGGCGCCTCCGTGCCCGGGCTCCAGGCCCTCAAGTCCGCGCTGATCTTGTCGTCGGCGACGCGGTCCGACATGCGCTCGCGGTGGCGGTCGCAGAAGTCCTGGTCGCCGAACATGTTCGCGTCGAAGCACGAGCTCAGCCGCGGCTCGCGCTCGTCGGCCGCGTCCAACGTCGCCGACCGGGCCAGCGCGCCGAGGGCCTCGTAGGCGTCGCCCAGGGACGCCGCGAGCGCGCCCGTCGCGCGGTCGAGCGACGCCGCGTTGAGCTCGGGCAGCGCCATGGCCGCCTCGAGCTCCGCGAGCTCCGCGTCCGCGTCGGCCTGGGCCGCCCGGATGCGCTCGAGCTCGCCGACCTCGCCCGCGTAGAGGTCGCCCTCGCAGTCGAGGGCCTCGCGGCCTGGGCAGCAAAAGGGTGCGAAATTCCCAACTTCAAAGGCTCATATCTCGGCCGTTTTCCACTCGTTTTGGCTGATTTTTGGACGAGCGATCATCTCTCGGAACGGTCTCGAAGCGTGGATGCTGTTTCCGGAACGCGCGCGCGCGGAATACTCACGTTGAAGCGACGTTGAATCACCCTTTTGCTGCCCTGCTCGCGGCTCTCGCGGACGACGCGCGCGACGTCCCGCGCGCGCTGCCGCGCGCGCCGCTGCGTCGCCGCGACGACGGCGCGGCGCCAGGCCGTGAAGAGGGACCGCGGCGCGTCGATGGCGCCGCCGTTGGCCTGCATGGCCAACAACGCCCGCGCGAGGGCCGCCTTCCGCTTCTCCTGCTTCTTGTGCGTCCGCCACCGCTCGAAGGTGATGGCCATGGCCGTGACGCTCCGCTTGTCGCACAAGCCCTCGACGAACTGGACGACCTGCTCCTTCTCGCGCACGAGCTTGGACAGGCGCGTCTCCACGGACGCCTTCGTCGACAGCTCCGCGTTGCGCCGCGCCTCGAAGAGCGACCGGAGCTCGCCCCACGTGGGCACGTGGGCCATGAGCCGCAGCTCCGGCCGGTCGGCGTCGCCACCGTCGCCCCCGGCGTCGTCCGTGATCTTCGCCAGGTACTGCGCGAGGACGCCGCCGAGGTAGCGCTGCCGCGCCGTCGCGCACGTGTCCAAATTGTCCTGCGCCGCGCCCCCCCGGAGGTCCATCAATTCCTGGGCGATCTCCGACGCCACGAAGAGGCTCCGCCGCCGCTTCGTCTTGCCCCGGTAGGCCGCCGCGGCCTCCGTGTCGCCCGCGATGAGCGCGTGGTGCGCCTGCGGGATCGCGAAGATGGCGCGGACGAGCGCCGCGAGCGGCCGGCGGACGTGGCCTAGGCTCGGGAGCTCCTCGAGGAGGAGGTGGACGGCGACGGCGGCGAGGACGCAGGTGGGCATGAGCCCCGTCGACGCGAGCTGCGTCGCCTCGTCGAGCTTGGCGAGCGCGTAGACGGAGCCCGACGCGAAGATCTCCTTCTCCCTAGCGAACGACGCGACGTACGTGTCGATGGGGCCCCTGGCCGCGACGTCGATGCCCTCGCCGCTCCTCAGGGCCGCGCGGAGCGCCCGGTCCTTCGTCGCCCGCTGGGCCGCGGACCGCCGCTCGCTGAGCATGTCGCCGAGGCCGCTCGTCGACATCTTCGGCCGCTCGCGCGGCCGGGTGTCCGCGACGCGCGGCCGCCGGCTCGGCGACGCCGAGAGGCCCGCGACGGACGTGTTGCCCAGGCTCGGCAGCGTGCGCGGCGACGCCGCCGTGGCGACGGACCGCGCGGCGCTCGACGCGGCGGACGCGCGGGACCGGCGCGTCGCGCGCGTCGCGGCCGTCGCGTCCTCGTCGAAGAGGTCCGCGGCGCGCGGCGGGCCGACGATGGTGCCGTGGGCCTCGACGGCCCGCCGGTACTTGGCCACGGTGACGGCGACGGCGCGCTGCCGCCGCCGCTCCGCCTCGTGGTGCCGCTCGCGCCAGAGGTGCTCCGCCTCGTCGAGCACCTCCTCGAGCTGCGCGAACTCGAGGGGCCCGAGGTCGTCCTCCTCGTCGGCCTGGCGCGCCTCGCGCCGGCCCCCGACGCCGAGGTAGGCCATGCCGGGGTCGCTCGCGCTCTCGCGGAGCCGCGGACCGCCGCGGGGCTGCTGCGGCGCTGGCTGGGCGTTGCGGAGGTGCGTGCGCAGGTCGTTGACCATCTTCCGGCTCGGGCTCATGGCCCCGTAGGTCGACAGCAGGTTCGGCGGCGTCGCGCCCTTCTTGAAGATCTTGGGCTTGCGCGTCACCGACGCCATGGGGCTGGTCTCCGGAGAGCACCCCCACCTATAGCGCCGGAAGGCCGCGGCTCCGGCGGCACGGTGCAGGACGTATCAAGCATGATGCCGCCGTAGCGCTCTCCCGGGTCTGGGGCAGCCCTCTGCGCCCGGTACCATGTTCCGCCGCCGCTTCTACGACCGCGACTCGGACAGCTCGAACAGCGACGAGGACGACGGCGACGAGCCCGTCGGCGGCAGCTCGCGGGACCGCATGGAGGAGTGGTGCCAGGGCGAGGAGGCGGTCTGGCTCTGCCGCATCCCGACGCTCGCCGCGGCGGGCGAGCCGGACGCGCTGGACCACCTGACGCGGGCCCTCGCCGTCGCGAAGCCGCGCCTCGCGACGGCGCTCGCGGCGGCGACGGTCGACGCGGTGCTCCGCCAGCGCGAGCGCTACGCGCATCTGCCGATGCTCCGCCGGTTGTGCGTGTCCTTCATCTACGTCGACACGGACGCCCAGGGCCACGTCGCCGACGCGGCGCCGTCGGCGGCCTTCGACTTCACGCGGGCCGCGCGCCAGTCCGTCTTCCTGCCCGGGGGCGGGCCGCCCGGCGGCGGCCGGGGCCCGTCGCTCCAGGGCCGCATGGCCGCGGGGTCGCGCCTCGCGGAGTTCATGCGCCACACGCCCTGCTTCGACACGGTCTTCAACCTGCAGAGCGAGGTGTCGGAGCTCGCGCGGCGGCGCATCGCCGTCGAGCAGATGGAGGACATGCGGAACCGGAGCCGGAAGCTGCGCGCGGACGGCGCGATGGCGCTGCTCCACGTCCGCGACCAGGGCCTGCGGACGTTGGTTTTTTACTGCTGGCGCGCGCTGCGCGAGCTCTGCGAGGCCCAGCGCGCGGCGACGATGCGCACCCACTTCTGCAAGGTCGCGAAGAAGGCGCGCGGCGCGGGCTTCGTGCTCGCCGCGCTCGGCGGCGGCGGCGACGGGACCTCGGCCGCGCTCGCCGTCGCGCGCGAGACCATCGCCAGGGCCGCCTTCGAGCACTGGCACATCGAGGCCTGCGCGAGCCGGCGCCTGCGGGACGCGGGCGAGACGAAGCACGACGAGGCGCTCGTCCGCGCGCGCGGCGCGGAGCTCGAGGCGCTGACGGCGAAGCGCGCGGCGTGCAGGGCGTCCGTCGACGAGGAGAAGGCCGCGCTCGCGGAGACGCGGCGGCGCGTCGCCGAGTGCCGGCGCCTGCTCCAGAGCGGCCGCTTCGAGCGCCACTGCGGCCTCAACGGCGCGCTGTCCGCCGCGACGAAGAACGCGGGCGACGAGATCGTCCGGAGGATCCGCGGCGCGCTCGCGGACGCCTTCGAGGCGCCCTGCGCCCACGCCATCGCCTGCCTGGCCATGGAGCCCTCGGAGCTCGCGGAGCTCGGCGTCGTGGCGGACGCGGACGCGCTCGCGCTCGAGCGGAGCCGCGAGATCGCGCGGTTGAAGGCCGACGCGCGCGAGGACGCGGAACAGCGGCTCCACGCGCTCAAGAGCGCGCAGCTCGCGGCGAAGCTCGAGGCGCTGCCCGGCGGCTGGGAGGGCGGCGGCGAGGGCGCCGTGCCGCGCCAGGTGCTCCAGCTCCAGGAGGAGTTCGACCGGTGGGCCGAGAAGCGGCGGGGCAAGGTCGCGCTGCGCCTCGCGGGCGACCACGAGCGCGCGCGCACGGCCGCGCGGCGCCAGCGGCGCCTGCGCCTCGACCAGATCGCGCGGCGCGACGCGGCCGTCGAGCCCGACGCCGCGGAGCAGCTCCTGGGCTGGGCGCCGGACCTGCTCGTGCTGCGCTGGGCGTCCTTCGTGCTCCGGCGGGGCCCCCACCTCGCGCAGCGGCGGCTGCGCAACTTCGGCGAGGACCTGCGGGACGGGACGATCCTCAGCCTGCTGCTCGCGTGCGTCGCGCCCGCGGAGCTCTACGACGGCGCGCCGCGCGACTACCGCGACGACGCGTCCTTCCTCGACGACGTGCTGAGCGAGAGCGACGAGGAGAGGGAGCCGGGGGAGAAGAAGGTCGAGGCGCCCGCCGGCGGGAGCCGGCGCCAGCGCGCGGCGATCCGCGTCGCCGCGGCGCCGCGGGGCCGCGGCGGCGGCGGCGGCGCGGGGTCGCCGCTCAAGACCGGCGCGCGCGCGAAGCAGCGCAAGCTCGCCCAGGCCGTGCGCAACGACAAGCGGCGCGTCATGCTCGAGGACGAGATCGACCCCAACGAGCGCCTCGACCACGTCTTCCGCACGCTCGGCGTCCTCGAGCCGCCCGCGACGGGCTTCGCGACGCCGAGCCTCGTGCAGGGCAGGACAAGAGTGATTCAACGTCGCTTCAACGTGAGTGTTCCGCGCGCGCGCGTTCTGGAAAAAACATCCACGCTTCGAGACCGTTCCGAGAGGTGATCGCTCGTCCAAAAATCAGCCGAAACGAGTGGAAACCGGCCGAGAGAGGAGCCTTTGAAGTTGGGAATTTCGCACTCTTGTCCTGCCCAGGCCTCGTGCGCGCGGGCGACGCGTCCGTGGGCTGCGCCCTGCTGGCGCGGCTCATGCTCACGCACCACGGCCTGGGGCCCGTGCGCGGGTCCGGGCCCTGGCGGCGGCGCCGCGCGGCGACGCGGCGGTGGCTCGAGCTCGCGGAGGACTGGGAGGCGGCGAGCGGCGAGGTCGCGTCGGTCCTCGAGGGCACGGCGGGCGAGGCGAAGTGGCGCGCCTGGCGCGGCAAGGACCTCGAGACGACGGACGACCCCGCGGCGGCCTTCGAGTCCGCGCTCGCGAAGCTCACGCGGACGTGCGCGGCCCTCAAAGACCTCGCCGGGGACGTCGACGTCGTCCGCGAGGACGCGGCGCGGGGCCGCGCGGCCTTCGCGCCGCTCCGCGCGAAGCTCACGGACCTGTCGTACGCGCTCTTCGGCCTCCGCGCGCGCCGGGAGCTGCTCCCGACGCCCATCGACCCGCCGCCGTCGCTCCGCGACGCGCACAAGCACGCGGACATGGACCAGATGGTCGCCGGCGGCGGCGTCGACGGCCACAGCAAGCACGCGAACGAGCCGCGGACCGCGCCCGTCGCGATCGCCGACGAGCGGCTCCGCGCGGAGTTCGCCGCGTTCACGACGTTCCGGGGCCGGCGGGGCGGCGCGGCGGTGGCCTACTGCGCGGCCCACGAGCTGGGCATCCGCGAGGTGCCCCGCAAGGTCGAGGTCATCCACGAGGACCACGTCGAGGCGGAGAAGGACGCGGCGGAGGCGCGCGCGTTGGTGTTGGGCCGCGGCGAGCTGAGCGACCGGGGCCGCCTCGAGGCGCTCATCAAGCCCTACAGCTTCGACGACGTCGACGCCTGGGGCCGCGGCGCCGAGGCCGTGCTCCGCGACTACTTCGAGGACCTGCGGCGCGTCTTCCGGTTCTACGCGGCTTCCGGCGAGGCGGGGTCCGCGGACGAGATGAGCGCCCACGAGTGGATGGTCTTCCTCGGCGACTGCCGCATCATCGACAAGCGCCACACGTGGTGCTTCCGCCGCGGGTCGCCCGACGACGCGGACGAGTGCCGCGAGAAGTTCGCGCTCTTCCGCTTCACCAAGGACACCGCGCGGCGGGTCTTCGACATGACGCTCGACGCCGAGGACGAGGCGCGGCGCCTCGCCGCCGAGGAGCGGAAGCGGGCCTACTACGAGGAGAGCCTCGAGGAGGTGCGGCGCGTCCAGGCGGAGATCGACGACGCGGACCCGGAGCTCAAGAAGCTCATGGAGAGCGAGCGGTCCCGGTCGCCGACGCGCAAGACGAAGCTCGCCGCCGCCGCCGCGGGCGGCGGGGCCCGCGCGACGACGCGGGGGAACCCGCGCGCGACGACGGTCGCGGCGCGCGCCGCGGACGACGACGACGACGACGAGGCCGACGGCGGCTGGGCGCTCGACGACGGCGAGCGCGAGCTCGGGCCCGGCGAGTGGGTCGAGGCGCTGTTGTACGTGGCCATGCTCAAGCTGCGGCCCCCGGACGGCCGCGACGACCACCACGCGATCCTCCCGCCGGACGAGTGCCTCCGGCGCCTGGTCGAGGACGTGATCCTGCCGCGCGCGGCGCAGAGCAACCGCGACACGTTCCGCGGCGAGCTCGCCATGGACGCGGTCCAGAAGGTCTTCCGCAAGCACCGCGTCGTCCTCGCGCGCATCTTCCGCATCTTCGCGACGGCGCCCGCCGTCGTCGAGGGCCACGTGCCGGGCCAGCCCGCGCTGTCCGGGCCGGGCTTCCTGCGCATGATGCGCGACGCGCGCGTCGTGACGACGCCCGCCGACGCGAAGCACGACTTCCCCGCGGGTAGCGCGCGCAAGGTCTTCCAGGACGTCCAGCTCGGCGAGGACTCCGCGGGGTCCACGGAGGTCGGCGGCGGCGGCGAGTCGATGATCTACCCCGAGTTCCTCGAGGCGCTGGGCGCCATCGCCGTCTACAAGAACACGAACCCCTACATCTCCCTCCAGGACAAGCTCGAGACCTTCCTCAGCCACGCGCAGACGGGCTTCGTCACGTGCCTCAACACGGCGATCAAGAAGGACAAGCGCAAGCTCAAGCTCGCGACGTCCGCGGCGTCCGCGGCGAACAAGGCCTACGCGGCCCACGGCGGCCGCGCGGCCATGGCCGTCATCAAGCAGGAGAAGACGCCGCGGACGCCGGGCCGCGGCGCGCCGCTCCCGGCCGACGCGGGCCGCGCGACCGTCGCCGCGGCCAAGGCCGACGAGGGGTCCGTGACCAAGTCCGACGCCGACGACCGGCCCTGGGAGGACATGGGCGACCGCGACCGCATACGCTAGGGGGGGGGCGCGTAAGGGCCGGGGGTGTCCGAGTCCCCGGGGATGGGTGTTGCGGTAGCATGGATCGCAAGGCCGCGGTCGAAGGCCGCGGTCGAAGGCCGCCGTCGAAGACACCGGAGGCACGCGTCGCCTCCAGCAACGTCCAGCTGTTCTTGTTGGCGGACGTGTTGTCCATCACGACTTGGTTGTACGTCTCGATGCCGCCGTTCTCGGAAATGAACTTCACGTGGGACTCGTGGGGCCACTGGGCGTCGACGCTGTCCCCCTCGGGGCACAAGCCTGAGATGTCCACGAACGCGGCGCCCTCGGCCGTGACATCGTTGAAGTTCACCACCTTCTCGCGCGAGATGGTGTCGCCGCCGTCGCTCGTGGGCCGGGAATTCATGGACTCGCCGTCGTCGGAAATGACCGAGTCGTCGCCCTCCGAGTCCGAGTAATGAAAAAGCTGGATACCACTGGCAGCTGCTTCATAGACGCCATGCATGACATCTACAACCAGCTCCACCTGGACTTTGGAGTCAAACTGAAACTGGCTGTATCCGATTCCTTCTCATCGTTTGTTGAGCAAAGGCAATTACTCAGACTTAAACTGCAACTACAGTTCGAGAGGATGAGGACCGACACGCGCTCGGCGTGGTTCGGAGGAAGAGCATGTCGACGGGCGCCACGGACGACTTCTTCGCCATGCGGGCCTGCCTCGACGCGAAGAGCTTGTACTGGAGCGTGTAGTACGTCGCGTCGCCGTCGCCGCGCTCCTTGCGCGCCTTGACGACGCTGGTTGGACCCCCGCCCCCGGCGAGGCGCGCGCTTTGCAAGCGCCTGCGTTTCTACTTGAGTAGGGTTTGAGGCAAGTCGAGCCTGTGCCGCCGTCGCGTCGCCGCCGACCGCACGATGCTGCCCGCGAGCGCCGGCGTCCGACGCGCTGCCCGGGACGCCCCGGACCCTCTCGTCGCGCGCGCGGCCCGCCGCCTCGCCCCGCCCGCGCCGCGCCCCGCTCTACCTCACCGCAAACGCCGCAGGAGCTCATGATCACGGTGCTGTCGACGGAGACGTGCCCGACGTCGGCGCCCTTCTTCGGCTTCATGGTGCGCGCCCCCCGCCCCCCGCCCGCCCCCCCCCGGCCGCCCCGGAACGTTCCCGCGCGCCCCAGGGCGTCACGTCGGCCCTCGTCTTCGCGAACATCGGGGCCGCGTACGGCACGGCGAAGTCCGGCGTCGGCATCGCGTCCATGGGCGTCATGAACCCGGGCCTCGTCATGCGCAACATCATCCCCGTGGTCATGGCGGGCGTCCTCGGCATCTACGGCCTCATCGTCGCCGTCATCCTCCAGGGCGCGATCACGAAGCCCGACGCGGGCTCGGGCGGCACGACGAAGTTCTCGTCCTTCAGTGGCTACGCGTACCTCGCCGCGGGCCTCTGCTGCGGCCTCAGCGGCCTCGCCGCGGGCATGGCCATCGGCGTCGTCGGCGACGCGGGCGTCCGCGCCGTCGGCCAGCAGGAGAAGCTCTTCGTGGGAATGATCCTCATCCTCATCTTCGCCGAGGCGCTCGGCCTCTACGGCCTCATCGTCGCCCTCATCCTCTCCCAGCAATCCGCCGACTGCCAGTGATTTGCGCGACGCCGCGCCGTCGAAATTGTGTTCGAGAGAGCGAGACTCACTTTTTGCCGCGCGCCGGGCTCTTCCCCGCCGGCGCGTCGGTCTCTCTTTCCTCGCGAGACGGACCGTGGCCGACTCTACACTCACCTCGCGCGCGCCCACCCCGTGCCGCGCCGAGGCCTTTCGTCGGCGCGCAGGCGACGCGACGGCCGCGGGACGCCCGCGGCGCTCGCCGAAGACCCCACCGCGCGCCGACGCCGCGCGCGGGCCCCCTTTTCTAACCACCGACGTCCCAGGACTCTAACCCTCTACCGCGCCGACGCCGCGCGCGGGCCCCCTTTTCTAACCACCGACGTCCCAGGACTCTCTAACCCTCTACCGCGCCGACGCCGCGCGCGGGCCCCCTTTTCTAACCACCGACGTCCCAGGACTCTAACCCTCTACCGCAGCACCGCCTCGTCGAAGAGCGTGCAGGGGATCCGGTCCTCGATCGCGGCGCCGCACGTGGGGCAGCAGTCCCAGCCGCGGAGGCACTCGGCGCAGTGCATCGCGTGCGCGCAGGGCAGGATCACCATGTCGCTCTTCCGGAGCGTGCACACGCGGCAGAGGATCATGCGGTCCATCTCGGCGACGCGGGCCTGGAACGCCGCGAGGCGGCTCTCGAGGACGGCGACGCTGCGGCGGAGGCGCTCGTTCTCGCGCGCCGCGGCGCCGCCGTCGGCTTCGGGCGGGCGCGATTCCGGCGCGGCGTCCGACTCCGGCGCGGTGTCCGACTCCGGCGCGGCGTAACCGTCCGACTCCGGCGCGGCGTCCGCGGGCTCGGGCGGCTCGCGCTCCGACGGCGGCGCGAACTCGGCGAGGATCTTGATGGCCGCGGACGTGGGCAGACCCAGCTCCAGGAGGTCGTCGAGCTCCAGGAGCGGAAGGACGTCGACCGTCACGTCTTCGCTCGCGAGCGCGGCGTGGAACTCGCCGAGGCCGAGTCGGTCGAGCAGCGCGGCGAGGGGACCGTCGGCGGGCACGTCCTGCGCTTCGGCGACCGCCGGCGCCGCGGCGCGCGAGGCGACGAGGAAGACGCGGTGCGCGAACCAGTTTTTTTTGTCTCCGAGGTCGACGATGTGCTCGACTCGATACGCCTTCGGGAAGAGGCGCAGGTAGACCAGGAGGTACGGGACTTTGAACGTCGTGGTCGCGCCGACGGCGCCGCGGTGGCCTTGGAGCTCGTCCGTCAGCTCGCGCATCATGATGCCGCCCTCGGGAACGATCTCGGCGAGTTCCGCGGCGAACGCGGCGTGCGGCGCGGATCGATCGCCGGAGAACAAGCGAAACCCCTTCCGAGACGACGTCATGAACTCGACGGCGTCGCCCATCGAGGCCGCCTGCGGGCCGACGTCGGCGGGCGCGGCGTCGTCGACGTCCGCCGCGTGCTCGCCGAAGATCTCGAGCTGGTGCCACTCGAGGAACTTGTTGAACGACTCGTAGTGGTCGCGCACGATGCGCATCAACATCGGCCGCGACGAGCCGACCTTCGCCCCGAGCCGCTTCCGCCAGTCGTGCTCGGGGAAGCGCGCCTCCGCCAGCATCATCACGCACGTCCGCACGAGGGACTTGGTGATGGTCTGCGACAGGGACGAGGAGACCGCGTTGGCGACGTAGCGCGTCGCAGCCCGCGCCGGCGCGCCGCCGCCGTAGCGCGGCGAGGCCGGCGCCGGCGCCGCGGGGCCGTCCGCGAAGCCGCGCATGGCGCGCTCGAAGACGTCCACCTTGGCGTCCAAGAAGCTGCCGCGCGGGGAGCCCATGACGACGATGGGCTCCCGTCCCGTGGTAATTTCCAGTTTGAACGTCCATTGTTCGTCAAGGTGCGAAAATACCGTCGGCTGTCGTAACTCCGCCTCGGAGTGCGCGAATGAGCAGGTGTCTCGGAATTTGCAGACGGGCCCGTAGAAGCACATTTTCGTGCGAAAGAGACGGTGTTCGGCGAGCATCACGCCCCCCGACCAGCCCGGATGGTTCTGCGGGTCCTCGTCTATCAGCTTCCACGTGTAAGCGTGACGCCCGCAATGCTCCTTGAATTCCTTGATCACGTCTCGTTTACGATGTGCGGAAGTCATCCACTCGTCAGGAGCGCAGATGCCCCGGCTCTGGGGACGCGTCTCAGCCAAAGATCGAGATTAACTCGCGCGTACGATGTCGTAGCAGGCCGGCGCGGTCGGTGATGGTGCGGGCCGCACGGATGTGCGACAGGTCGCGACGAAGAGGCGCGGCGCCGTATCTTCGGCGAAGCCGCTCATGAGTGGGCTAGGAGGTCGCGATTGGGGCAGCACGGATTTTAGTGGAGCCCATCGTGGGGCTGCACTCGTGCATCAACGTGTGATTCAAGGTCGCTGCCACTTGGCGAGCTGTCCAGCTCGAGCAGCTCTCGGCGCAGTCGCGGAGTGAGATGGCCGAGTCGACTCTCGCTCATCAATCGCGAGGATGAACAGCCCGGGCTTGCCGGCCGACTTGAACGGCGCGTCGAGCACGGCTAGGCTACGGCTCCGCCGTTCCGACAAGCCATAACACGACGAGACCAATACGGGGCCAGGCGGGTGTGATTTAGAGGCGGGGCCGCCGCGGCGCGCGCGGCGGAGAGGCGGCAGGGGGGGGGTCCGCGGCGGGTCCGCGGTCACTGCGCGGGCGCGGCTCGCCGCGCGGCGTCGAGGGCCGCGTGGCACTTGGGGCAGCTCCAGTCGCCCTCCGGGATGGCCGCGAGGCCGCAGCACTCGAGGTGGTAGGCGCGCTCGCACGTGTCGCAGCAGAGGAGCTCGCCGCCGCCGCGGCACGCGTCGCAGTGGTCCGCGTTGCCGTCGTCGACGAGGGGCACGTCCGGGAGCTGCTTGTGCCAGGACGGCACGAGGCCGCCGTCGCGCGTGCGCTGGGCGTGCTGGACCTTGGCCATGTCGGCCTTGAAGCGCGCGTAGGACCCGCCGGACCGCGGCTTGTAGACGGCGTAGTAGTAGTTGAGCACGTCGCCGACGGGCAGCGCGAGTTCGAGGCTCACGAAGCGCATGGACTTGCGGTGGCGGAGCATGGACGCGCCGAGGCACGCGCCGCCCGTCACCGGGGGCGCGCCGCCGGCGGGGCCCTCGGCGGCCGCCGCGGGCGCGGGCGCGGGCTCCGGCGGCGACTCCGCGGCCTCCCAGCGCTGCGCGAGCGCGCGGCTGCCGCCGACGGCGCGCGCGGCCTTGGCCGCCGCGCCGTCGTCGCCGCAGTCGTAGCCCGCGCCGTAGAGCGCGAAGAGCGCGCCCGCCTCCGCGCCGGGCTCCGCGCCGTCGAGCAGCGCGTCGCACGCCGCGCGCGTCGCCGCGTCGCGCGGCGGCCGCCAGAGGCACTCCGCCGACGCCACCACGGGATCCTCGGCGAAGCCCCGCGCCGCGCGGCGCTCGCGCGCGCGCGCCTCGTCCGCGGACGGCCGCGCGAGCTCGAGCCGGAACCCGAACTCGTCTTTCCAGAGGCAGACGACGTCGCCGCGGCTCACCTGGCGCCGCCCGTCCATCTTCTTGATGAGGCGCTCGTTGAGCGTCACGACGTCGCCGTAGCGGTAGAGGGGCAGGACCCAGACGTCGTTCCGCTCGTCGACGTAGACGTCGACGTGCTGGCGGCTCAATCGCAGGTCGACGAGCTGCGTCTCGCGCGTGCGCCCGACGATGTTCGAGCCCCGGAGCAGCTCGACGGCGCGGGCGGCCCGCGGCGCGTCGCCGGGCTCGGCGCCCGGCGCGCCGAGCACCGCCGCCGCCGCCGCGGTCCGCGCGCTCGGCGCGACGGGCTCGAGGCGCCACGGCGTCGCGCGCGGCGCGCCCGCCGCGCCCGCGCCCTCGCGCGCGAGCCGCGGCGACGGCGCGGGCCTAGCGTCCGGCGGCTCCGCGTCGGGCCAGGGCGCCACGGGCGCCACGGGCCGCGGGTAGGACGCGCCCGCCGGCGCCGCGAGCTCCTCGAGCGCGACCTGCGAACGGCGGCGATCGGCGCGCGCGCGCGCGCGCGGAGGGCGCCGGGTGGGCGCGCCTGGAAGTCGGGCCCGACGCGGCTGTGCTTGATGGGGATCAGCGGGGCCTTGGCCTTGGGCGGCTTCTTCGCCTTCTCCTCGGGCTCCTCGCCTGACATTCGAATGTCGGGAGCCCCGGGGTGCGCCGGCGCGCAGTTCCGCTTCGGCCGGGGAGCCCCCGCGGCCCCGCCGGGCGAGAGGTCTCTTTTCGAGCCCGCGGGCTGGCCCGCGGCCGGGGCGACGGGTGGGGCGACCTCCATTTCTTGCGCGAGTCTTGGGCGTCCAGATGCGGCGGCTCGGGCCTCTCTCGTTCGCTTCTCCAAGGGCTTGGAGGATTTCGATTTTTGAGGTCCGGGATCCGCGCGCGGGCGCGGTGCATCGGCTACCTCGCGACGCGCACCATGCCCTGGCTGCTCTACGCCTTCGGCGTTCTGTCGACGGTCGCCATGCCCTCGGCGACGTTCCCCGAGCACCCGCACGCGGGTGCGCGCGCGGCGCTCGCGCGCGTCCTGCGCTGGGTCGCGAACTACCCGCACATACACTATTTAAGCCTGTGCGTAGAACATTGATGTCATCGCGGACAGTCTGTAAGTCTGTCGTATTCATGACTGCAACAGCATGTAAGTCTTCCATAGTAATGCCCTCATCTTCTTCTTCTTCTACGTTCCTGTTTGGGTAAAGATTGGGGAGAATGATTGTTATCGGAATGCAAGGAAAGCGGCGCAATATAAAGCCAAACGAAAAGCTGCAGCGAAAAAGAGCGATCAGAAACACAGGATCACTCAAAAAACAATAAATGCTGATGCTGATGCGCACTTTGCATCCCTTTCGACGTGTTACAAGGTATCAAGTCTCCGGTGCCTGACCCGAGCGGCCGCGGCCTTTTAGGATGAATCGGCACAAGCGCCGCCGACCGCGCCGGCGGCTCACCGTTCCGACTGGGAAAGGGACGCGTCGGCTTGGCCCTCGCGGCGGGCGCCTGGGCCCATGCACGCTCCATGCCGGCATGTGCCGCTCTGTCCCAATGCTATTTCAAGATCTGCCCCCCACTCGTGAAGCGCAGTTCAGAGAGCTCTCTTTGCCACAGAGCGGCCACCGCAGCTACAGCACGGAGCACGACCGCTGCCTGCGCGCTCCAAAGATCGTCCGTCCGACCGCTCGAACGCGCGCTGCAACGCGTCGCCGGCCTGCGTCGTCCGGCGGCGGGGCCGCGCCGCGCCATGTCGAGCTTCGCGCCGCCCGAGGCCGACAGCGCGCAGACGCCGGTCTACGGCCAGGAGCCGGAGCCGGAGCCCGAGCTCGACGGCGACGGCTACCGGTCGCTGACGCTCAAGCAGCACGTCGGCCGCCTGCTCTCGGTCGTCGTCTTCGTAATCATGCGCCCGCTCGGAGCCGCCGCACGAGGGTGATTCGAATGCGCTGCAACACGCGTGTGCCGTGCGCACTCACTGCAGAGAAGGGATCCACGCTGCGGGAACGCGTCGAGAGATGGTCGCTCGTCCGAAAATGAGCCGAACGCGGCGGAGACGGGAGCCGCCAAAGTTGGGACCCTCGCGCCGCCCAGGTTCCCCTTCGTCGTCGTCGCCCTCGGCTCGTACCGCCTCCTCTCGCTCGTCAAGGGCGCGCTCGGGACGAAGCAGGAGTGACGCGGGCGGCGGCCGGCGCCGCGGCCGCGCGCGAGCGGCGCCGGCCGCGCGGCGCCGCGCCCGCGGAGAGGGCCCGACGCCGAGTTTTGAAGGTGGCGCGAGTGCCGCCGCGAGGAGTCGCGCGACGAACTTCGCGACGACCCTCGGCGTATCTGCGGTCGAATTACGCGCGCGCGCGCGCGGGCCTAGTACTCCGGGTCGGGCACGTCGGGCACCTGCGGGGGGGGAGGGCGTCCTCGTCTCGCGCCGCGACGCCGAAAGAAACACACGCCGGGCGCGCGCGAAGTTCTGCTTCCATTCCGTGTAGTGCGAGCTCATCTTCCAGACGTAGTAGAACTCGATGATCTCCTTCGTGCTCTTCGTCTTCACGAAGCGCTGCACCGTGTGGAAGCACTTGCCGTGCAGGGCGAGGGCGCCTGGGGGGGGGGGCGCGGGGGGGTCCCGGCGGGGGGGGGAGAACGGCGGGGCGCCGCGGCCGCGCCTTCGAAGGTCGAGATCTCGCGCGGGCTCCAGGTCTCGACGACGAGCGGCCGTCGCACGGGCGACAGCATGGCGCCCAGGAGCGTCGGCCGCTCGACGCGGAACTCGCCCCGGTCCTGCGGGCGGCGGTGTCGGCGAGCGGCGGGGGGCGCGCGGGCGCGGCGCGACGCGCGGGCGCGGAGCCGTAGCGGCCGAACGTTACTGTGGGCACCATGAGGTCCGACACCATGTTGACGTAGTCCTCGACCTAGAGTCGCGGGTCGACGGCGGGACCGGGCGGCGCGAGCCGCGACGCGGGCGCGCACCATGCGCGACGTCTTCCACTGCTGTCGCGGCTCGCCGCCGGACTCCTCGCGCTTCCGCTTCGCCGGCGGCGGGCCGCCCTCGGCGGCGGCGTCGACCTTCGTCTCCTTCTTCGCCGCGAGCAGCGACATGGCTGCGACGGCGATGCCGCGTCGGCCGCGGCGTCGATGGCGCGCGCCGAGTGCGGCTCGACGACGTCTGGAAGGCCAAGCTCGGCGAGATGGGCTTCAGCACGGCGGTTTTGGAGGGCAATGATGGCTGCCCGCCGCGCGTCGTGAGCCCGCGCGCGCCGCCCCGTCGGCCATGGCCGCGCTCGGCTCCGCGCGCTGGGCGCCGGACGCGTGCCGCGACGACGTCGACGACGACGAACACCTCCGGGCGGGCCTCGTGAGCTGGGTCGTCCGCGACGTCGCGCGCGACGGCGCCGCCGCCGACGACGACGACGCGCGGCTGGAGCGCGCCGCGACGTTCCAGCGCGCGCGGGACCGCGTCGAGGCCGCGGCGAGCAGCGGCACGCTCGAGGACGTCGAGGACTTTCTGGACGACGTCGAGCGCTTCGTGTTGCCGGAGATGACGTCCGCACAGGTGGCGACGCTCCTGTCCTTCGAGGAGGCGCTGTCGAACGCGCACCTGCTCCTGGGCCGCTTCCGCGCGCGCGTCGCCGCGCGGCGCGCGGCGCTGGAGGGAGTGACGCGGTGGCGGCGCGGCTTCGCGCCGCGGCCGAAAGCGCGCTTCTTCCCCGTGGACCAGGAGTGGGCCGCGGCGCGCGTCGCGGCCTTCCTGCCCTCGGCGGACTGGCGGCGCCTCGCGAGCGCCTGCCGGGCGCTGCGCGCGGGCCTGGGCTAGGTCCGACGGCGCTTCGACGTCCGCCCCGCGGCGCGCGGCGCCGCTCGGTTTTAAAATTAGAAGTTCTCCTTGTGGAGCGTGAAGATGCAGTCGTCGTGCGTCGAGGAGTGCTTCTTGCACATGCGGTCGAGGTCCGCGCCGATGACGGGCGTGCCGCAGAAGCAGACGCCGATGTCCTTGTGGCGCCGGCCCGCGCGGACGCCCTCGAAGATCGCGTCCCACTGGGGCCGGCCGTTCCAGACCCACGTGTCCTGGAACCGGTTCGGCGCCGCGCCGCCCGCGGCCATGGCCGCGGCCTGGTCCTTGGACGACACGGCCGGCGACAGGAGCTCGTCGAAGAGCTGGCGCGCGGTGAAGACGCGCGGCAGCGCGCCCGGCTCGTCGCGCGGCGGCCTGGGCAGCACAAGAGTGATTCAACGTCGCTTCAACGTGAGTGTTCCGCGCGCGCGCGTTACGGAAAACACATCCATGCTTCGAGACCGTTCCGAGAGATGATCGCTCGTCCAAAAATCAGCCGAAACGAGTGGAAAATGGCCGAGATCGGAGCCTTTGAAGTTGGGAATTTCGCTCTCTTGTGCTGCCCTGGCGGCGGCGGCGACCGCATCGCCGCGGGCGCGCCGTGGCCCGGCCGCGGCGCGCGCGTCACGTAGACGTTGATCTCGCAGTAGCAGCGGTTCGCGACGGCGCCGGCCTCGCGGCCCCGGTACAGGTCGTACTCCAAGTCCGCGACCTGCGTGGAAATCGACCGCCGGTTTGGGACGTCCCGACCAAACTCTGAAATTCTCTAGCTCGGCCACATCGAAGTCGATTCGGCTGATTTTTGGACGAATCGATCGCTCTCGTCGACTTCTCGCAGCACGGCCGAAGATATCTGGTCCAAACCGTTCGAATACGCGCACGTTGAAGTCGGGTTGAATATTTGACTTCCGCACGGTCCGCGACGCGGTGCACGAACCACTCGAACGCGGGCACGTCGCCGTGCGCGACGACCCAGTAGAAGTGGAGGATCTCGGGCTTGAAGCCCGCGCGCCACCGGTACTTGAGCATGGCCGTGAGCACGGACGCGCACGGCGTCATGCCGATGCCCGCGCCCACGACGAGCACGGAGCCGTACTTGTCGTAGTGCATCGCCGGCGCCGCGTGGGGCCCGTCCACCCTCAGGATCTGCCCGAGGTCCGGGCCCCGGGCGCGGCCCAGGAGCAGCTCCCCCCGGTCGTCGCGCCGCGTGAAGTGGAACGGGTAGTCGCGGCGCGGCGCCATCATCTCGAGGTAGTCCTTCAACGCCTGCGTCCACGTCGGCGGCTCGCCCGGCGCGGCCGCGTGGACCTTGATGTGGCAGGACACGAAGTCGTGGTGCGCCGTCTCGTGCGCCGCGAGCAAGTCGTCGTCGCACACGGTCGCCGGGTCCGCGGACGCGCGGCGGTAGCGCCGCCACCGCGCGCGCGCGCGCAGCGGCAGCGCCGCCGGCGGGTCCACGGCGACGACGGTCTCGCCGTCGTCGAGGGCGACGCGCGCGCCCGCGGCGAGGTCGCCGCGCGCGGACGAGATCGTGAACGGGTGCCACTCGTGGCGGCTCACGAAGGGGCAGTTGAGCAGCACGTAGGTGCCCTCGGCGAAGTCGAAGTCGCGCTTGTCCGCGGGCCGGAAGTGGACCGCGAGCACGGGCGGGATCCACTCGACGCGCGCGACGAGGAAGGGCGCGTTGCCCCGGACCTGTGTGGAATTCAACCACTGGTTTGGGTGGTCCTGACCAAACTTCAGAACTCTCTAGCTCGGTCAAATCGGAGTCGATTCGGCTGATTTTTAGACGAATCGATTGCTCTCGTCGAGTTCTCGAAGCACAGCCGAAAATCTCGCGTCGAAACTGTCGCGTACGCTCACATTGAAGTCGGGTGAAGATTGAATTCCACACAGCCCCGGACGACGCGGCGCCGCCGCTCGTACGCGTACGCGGCGAGCGGCACGAGGCTCCAGAGGTAGAAGACGGGCCCGTGGAGGAGGAGCGCGGCGTAGTAGAGGAGGAAGAAGTGGTGGGCGACCCAGAAGACCTCGAAGTTCGCCCGCTTGACGGCGTCGGACGCCGCCGTGAAGATGAAGAACATGGCCACCAAGACGAGCGCTCCCGTCACGAAGGACGTGCCGCCCCAGCCCCACTTGGCGAAGCGCGCGACGGTGTAGCGCGGCGACGCCCAGTAGTTGAAGAAGTGGGCGACGGTGTGGACGAGCGAGAGCGCGAGCATCGTCCACGCGACGAGCTTGTGGAACTCGACGTTCTTGGCCAGAGGCACGTAGCGCGCGAAGGGCGACTCGAAGTACTTCTTGAAGAGCGCGCTCCGCTCCTGGGCCGCGCGGTAGTTGCCGCCGAGGCCGTTGAGCAGGATGAGCACGGACCGCGTCACGGGGAGCACGAGGAGCGCGCAGTTGAAGTTGAGCGCGACGCCCGCGGCCTGCGTGGAAATCGAATCTTCAACGACTTCAATGTGAGCATATGCGACGGTTTCGACGCAACTTGTTCTGATCTCCGTAGAGAACTCGACGAGAGCATACGATTCGTCCAAAAATCAGCCGAATCGACTTCGATTTGACCGAGCTAGAGATTTCTGAAGTTTGGCCCCGACGTCCCAGCTCACTGGTTGATTTCCACACAGCCCGCGGCCTTGGCGAAGGGCGCGAAGTAGGACAGGGGGCCGTTGCGGAGCGCGGCCTTGTTGAGGTCGCAGGCGTCGCGCCAGCGCGTGTAGGGCTTCGACCCCGCCGCGGGGCACGCGTCGCAGCCGTCGAGCTTGAGGTCGTCGCGGAGCAGGCCCCGCTCCGTCTCCCGGATCGCCTCGACCCAGATCGCGAGCGTGTGCGCGAACATGAGCGCGTTGGCGCCAAAGTAGAGGCCCACCCAGAACGTCGTCGCGAAGTTCGACGACGAGCAGAGCAGCGCGAGCCGCGCCCTCCAAGAGAACGCGTCGTCGTCCTCGCGGAGGTGCGCGGGCTTCCTGCCCGCCTTGGCGCTCCGGGCCCGGCCGCCGTCGCCGGCCTCGCGCCGCAGGAAGGCGAGCTCGTAGCAGGCCGCGGCGACGAGCGCGAGGAAGCCCGCGAGGCTCGTGCTCCGCGTCGTGCAGGCGAAGCCGCCGACGGCGCCGAGGAGGAGGCCCTGGGGCGCGACGCGCAGCCGGTAGAAGGCCCAGTCCGTCGGCATCCAGAGCCCGAAGCCCCGGGGCGCCTGCTCCAGGGCGAGGACCAGCAGGCCGCCGAAGACGGAGACGAGGCCGACGGCGAGCGAGCCGCCGAGGTTCTCGGCCCGGGACGCGGGGCCGTCCGGGTCGCAGCAGGCCGCGCGGTAGGCGACGCCGCCGCCGTCGGCGCCGGCGCCGACGACGCAGGTGCCGTTGACGCCGCCGACCACCGCGCCGCGGCGGATGAGCTTGCCGTTTATCGCGCGGTCGCGGACCTTGCACGCGTACGTGCCCGACGACGTCCACAGCACGCCGAAGACGCCGAGGACGACGAGCGCCGCCGCGGCGACGCGCGCCATGTTGTGCGCCCAGAGCGCGAACTGCTGCGGCCGCTCGCCGTCGAAGCGGCCGCTCGCCGCGGCCGGCGCCGCCGCGGGCGCCGCGGCCGGCCGCGGCGGCGCGCCGGGCGGCGGCGGCGGCTTGATGGGATTGTGGCTCATGACCAGGAGCGACGGCTCCCGCTCCCCGACCTCCTCGTCGACGGCCGGCGCGTCCGACGCGGCGCCGCGCGCGCCGGACGATTCCTCCATATTGCTGGCTTCTTTTTCTTGTAAAAGGGCTGCCCAAGGTGAACCTTCACGATCTCTTCACGTGAAGGGGAGACGATGGCTTGCGCTCGGCCCTGGGCAGGAAGCATGGCATGAGGCGCGGCGCCGCGCTGGGCTGCGTCGCCGCGCTGGCCGCGGCGCAGCCCTGGCGCCTCGGCACGGTCGACGACGTCGCCGTGTCGTCGCGGGCGTCCCCGACGGCGGCGGCGGCCTGCGCGGCGCGGGCGGGGCTGGCGCCCAACGCGTCGGCGTCTCGCGTGACCGTCGTCTACTCGGCGACGCTCCTCGGGGACCCCGTGGCCCACGGCTACGCCATCGCCCTGCGCCAGCTCGCGGCCTTCGCCGCCGCGGGCCTGCTCTGCCGCGGCTGCGCGGACTTCCACGTCGTCGTCACCGCCGCGGCCGCGCCGGCCGCGGCCGCGCCGGCCGCGGCCGAGGGCGCCGGCGCGTCGCTCGCCGCCGCCGCGGCCGACGTCGCGGCGACGGCGCGGCGCCTCTCCGGCGGCACCGCGACGGTGGCGACGGTCCGCGAGAACGGCTTCGAGGGCCCCACGCTCCACCGGCTCTGGCGCCTCGCGTGCGCGCGGCCGCGCGCGCTCTTCCTCTACGCGCACAACAAGGGCGCGACGCGCGTCGCCGAGGCCCCGCGGGGCCCGCCGCCGGCCGACGGGCCCGGCGCGACGCTCGGCGGCAACCGGACGGTCTGGGACAGGGCAGGACAAGAGAGCGAAATTCCAAACTTCAAAGCCTCATATCTCGGCCGTTTTCCACTCGTTTTGGCTGATTTTTGGACGAGCGATCATCTCTCGGAGCGCTCTCGAAGCGTGGGTGCTGTTTTTGAAACGCGCGCGCGCGGAACACTTACGTTGAAGCGACGTTGAATCACCCTTGTGCCGCCCCGCGGGGAACGCGGACGCGGCGAAGAGCTGGCCGTCGCGGGGCGCCGCGGCGCGCGTGGACCAGCCCCGGGAGAAGCGCGGCGCGAGGAGGAAGACGGGCGTGCCCCAGGACGCGAAGACGGCCGCGACGACGCCGCGGGAGCAGCGCACGGCCGCGGCGCCGCCCTCGGACGCGAGGTCCGCGTGCGGCGCCCAGGGGCCGAGGAGCTCCCAGGCCACGCGGTCGACGGCCTGGTTCAGGCGCCCCGTCGCCAGGGGCATGGCGCCGCCGTCGCCGAGCGCGCAGCTCGCGAGCGCGAGGCCCCGCGCGCCGTCGCGCGACCGCGCCGTGTCCGCGAATTGCTCCTCGCCGGACGTCCGCTCGAGGAGCCGCGGCGCGGCGACGTTGAACGCCGGTGGCCGCGCCGGCGGCGCGCGCGCGGCGCCGGCGCAGGCCGGGGCCTTCGCCGCGAGGCCGAGCCAGGCCTCGTAGTAGTGGCGCTCGGCCGTCGCGACGGGCTCGGGCCGCGCCGCGGCGTGCGCGCCGCGCGCCCAGAAGAAGTTGAACCACTGCCAGCCGCCGTTCGCCGGCGCGAGGCCCGCGTGGTCCATCGCGGCGCCGTGGTGGTCGAAGAGCGCGACGACGGCGCGCCACCTGGGCAGGAAAAGGGTGCGAAATTCCCAACTTCAAAGGCTCCTATCTCGG